AGTCTGAAATCTAATCCAGCTTGACAATTACCAGGTCGGAGGCAGGGCCCTGGGTGCTTACAGCTGGGGTGTCTGGGTAATCTCCACTTGCCTAGCGGGTGCTCAGAGCAAGCTCAAACCCCCCTGGAAAAATCCTTGACAAAGATTCCTCTTTGATCCAATTCTGCTTCGGTTCCCCTGGACTTCGCTTCTAGGCCTTGGCTTTTTTTTTGTTTGTTTGTTTGTTTTTTTTTTTTTTTTTTCCGGTACCGGGAACCGAACTCACGACCTTGCACTTGCCAGGCAGGCGCTTTGCCGCTGAGCTAAATCCCCAGCCGGCCTTGGCTTTTGGACTCGAGTGTTAATCTGTGCGTTGTCCGATGATTTTAGCAAGAATCCTGTTTGCTTGGTTTAGCTAGAATCCCTCATCCTCCGTCTCCGATCACCACCATACCTGCTCAGTTCCTTCCTCCTTCACTCTTGGCCAGGGTGATGCTCAATTGCCCAGGCTCTGCCTCTCTTTAGCAGGAATCCTGCTAGGTCAGTTTAGGCCTAAGTCCTTACTTTTCAAGTTTCCTCTTGGTAATTTTCTACCCTTTGAGCCGCACCCCCTTGCTGCCTGGCTATGAACTCCCAGCCCACCACGCCGAACGGGTATGGAGACCACTTTCGCTCATGCCACTGCAGAACTCCATTCTGCAGTTCTGGTCCCCATACCCACTAGGAGGAGCCCCTTGAATTAAGTCTGCTTGGCCAGGGTCATTTTTTTTTAAAACCCTGCCCCCCTCCCCCGATTTACCAAACCCCAGCCAAATGAGCTCCTGCTTCCTCTGGAACCTCGGGGGTCTTCATCCACGAAAACGGCACAAGGGGCAAGCAGGGTCTAGGGGAGAAAAGCGGGTTTTTTTTTTACTCAGACGGGGAAGGGTGGAGGTGCTGGGTTTGTCCAACATCCGAAAAGCACAACTGCCAAACGTGAATCCCCTAAAGGCAAAGGGCACTGTTATTAGAGAAAAGAAAGGTGCATTCCAGGCACGAGCTGCGCGGGGAAGGGGGGCTCCCCGGCCGCCCTCCTCCCCCTCCCCCCTCCCCCCAGGTGCCGCCCACCCGGGCGCGGCGGGCGCGGAGCCGCGCGCTCTAGGACCGAGGAGCGGAGCTGCAGGGAGACGGGGCCTCCTGCGGCAGCGGCCGCGAGCGAGGGAGCCGCGGGGCCGGGGCTGAGATGAACGCGGGGCGCTCGGGAGCCACGAGGACCCAGCTGCCGGGGCGGCGGCGCGGGGAGCAGGATGCGGCCGCCCGTAATTAAATAGCATTTACTCTTATTATTACTAATAATAATAATAATAACGTAATCATACCTCTAGTCATAGCATATCACTTATCGGGCTCGGCGCAGGCCCGCGGGGAGCGCAGCCCGGCCGAGGTGAGTGCCGGGGAGGCCGGGGCCCAGCGTCCCGGGCGGGCGGCGGGGTTCGGGGTTCCGGGCGCTCGGGGTCGGGGAGGAGGCGCGGGAAGCCTCGATCCAGGCCGGGGCCGCGCGCCGTCCTCCTGGAAATGGGGTTTTGCAAAAATAAAACAGCAGCCCCCTATCCCCATGAGCTCCTTTTTGAGGATACCCCTCTCCAGCCCCGGACCGTGCTGCCCCAAAGTTTCAAAGTTATGGTGCATCCGGGGGCACCTGCCGCTGGGGAGATGGCGCTGCCTCTGCAACCCCTCGGGGTGTCTTGGGATTTTCTTCTGTGCAGCGGGTGGAGGGATCTTTTCTGGGGGTCTGGAGCTTCGGCGCTATGAGGGTGCCCCGCTGGCTCCGAGCAGGGGGTGAAGGGATGGCAGGGGCGCCCCCTTTCCTTTTGTGTTCGTCTGGGCTCCGCAGCGCCTGGAGTTGAAGGGGCCGCGGCGAGGACCGGGGAACGCGGCCGTGCCATGGGCTGCCCTCGCCGGCTGCGGCTGCCACGCAAGTCCGGGGATCCGGGGCCTGCGGCCGGCCGAGCCCTACCGGAGGGGGCGGCAGGAAAGGGGGGCGCGGTCTGGCCCCGGCGGGCAGGAGGGCATTTCCTGTCGCAGGATCTGTCACTGTGCTCTGAGGGGTGACCAGGCGCTGGGCTGGGGGCTCATGGGGGACATAGGGGTGCAGGGCTTTGCTCTGGTGCCTGGGGCTGGGCATCCGGCGTGGCTGGGGGCTCGGGAGACCTTGAACCTACTCGCCCCACCCCCCACCCCGCCGCCCTCAGCTGCCCGGGGTCCATTCCAGGACCTACCCCTTCTCCATTTCCTCTAAACTGTCTGGTTGTTTATAAGGTGCCTGGCTTGGGGATCCTTCACAGAGAGACAAAGCAGGTTTCCCAGGAGGAAAAGGATCCTGTGGAAATATTTCCGTCTGGTAGAACAGGATGGCTCTGGTGCCAACATGGCATTAGTTTGAAGACTGGGGGCTGGGTCTGCACGGAGGAGCCTGGATAGAGGGAGAACGGGGCTGGGGGCTCGCAGCAGTGTGATCAGGGATGTAGTTCCGTTCTGGGGCTGCTAGCCAGGACTTTGGTTCCTAAGCACGAGACTTGGAACCCCAACTTCTTGCCATATTCCTCAGTGCCTGCAGTTCACCCCGTCTGATGAAAATAGCAGAATGCAGATCTTTGAATTTTCACACAAATGCGATAATTATAGTACATGTAGCAACTGTGTTGGACACAAAATTCTAGCGGAATCTTTCGTTCTACTACCAAGACCCCCACACACGCACGTACACACACACCATGCCCACCCTGGTCTTCGTCCCTGCTTCACCTCAGGTGGAAGTTGGCTGCAAAGTAGAAATGAGGCCAGGCCTGAGCCTGGTTGGAGCAGGTTTGAGACTGGGGGTGCCTTGGGCCCGGAAGGAGAATCCTGCCTCCTGGAGGGACCAGACCCCAGGAAGGAGAGAGACTTCTGAGCTGGGGTGGGGCTTGTGTTCCATGAGCGCTGTGAGGTGGAGCTGGTGGCTTTTTGTTGAGGTTGGGTGGGTCAGAATTTGGTTTGCCATTTGGAGCCCAAGAAGTTCTTTGGGATGAGCTGATCTCTTGAGTCCCAGGCACAGGGAAGTTGAGGCATCAGAGGCTTTGAGTTTGAGAATCTAAAAATTGATCCTTTAAATAGCGGTTCTTGGATTATAACAAAAGAGCATTCACCGGTGTTGGCTTGTTGGCCCTCCGCGGTGATTACATCAGGGAGCCATTTTCCATCCTCACTTTGCAGGTAGACCCCGAGGCTTAGCGAATTGGATGTCTTGCTGAAAACTCACACACCAGAGCTAGGAGTCCTGCCTGGTTTTCTGACTCCAAATTATCACCCTTTCTCAGAGTCCTGGCTACCTAGCCCAAGGTACTCTTCATTGACCCCAGGTGAGCCACTGTGGGGCAGGTGTGAGCCTGAGTTACTCACAGCCTGGCTGGAAAAGCAAAGTTAGTTCTAGTGATCCAGTGAGGGAATGAGAAAATGCCCACTGCTAAGGTCAGTGCACTGGAAGCTGACAGAACAGAGCTCAGGGTAATCTGAAAAAGTTAGGGAAGACTTCCTGTAGGAAGTGGACTTGCGCATGTGAGAATGGGGAGGTTTGGTGCGGCAGGGGGAGGAGGAGGGGAAGTTCCCCATGGTTACTTCACTGCTGGGAGGTTGACTTATAATCTCTATAATTCTGTAGTTCTCTGAGGGGTGGGCATTTTTATCTCCAGTTCACTGATAAATTGAGGAACACAGGATTTGTGTGGCCATTGTAAGGTCACCCTCCTAGGCCTCCTGATTCTTTTTTTTCGTTCTGGTACTAGGAATTGAACTCACGACCTTGCGCTTGCCAGGCAGGCGCTTTTGCCACTGAGCTAAATCCCCAGCCCCGGCCTCCTGATTCTTGAGGGTGCTGCAGCTCTCACTAAAAGATCCCCTCCCATCTCATTCTACTGAGCTAGGTCTGTGTCCCATGGGCACAGGCTGGCCCAGCAGAGCAGACCGAGGCAGTGGCAGGAGGATGCCCCTAGGGTGAGACCTGAGTTCCGTTCGGTAGTGTCTGCCCCAGGGCCCAGCTGCCACCCTGGGAGAGCTTGGAGCTTGGCCACAATACAGATAGGAACGATTAATCAGAACTTCCCAAGGACGGGAGCTGGGTCTAATCAGACCCTGTGCCTCCAGCCCTAGCGGACACGCCAGGAGGACACATGGGGCCATTATGTTGTCAAATTGAATTACTTCCCAGTGTGGAGGAGGGAGGTTTGTTTTGCCCGGAGTGGAAGGTCTTCCTAGAAGTGCCATGTGACATTTGAAAGCCGGGATGAGAAAGCCAGGGAAACCATACTCGGAGCGGAGACAGAGACACATAAAGGTGGGGACAAGTGATGAAAGAGCAGGTCACCTGGGACAGTCACAGTACAGGAGGCAGACGTGAGGGTACATTCAACTAAAGAGCCACAGGCTCTTTAGTTCTCAGATCCTCAGTTTCCTATCTGAAAATGAGCCCTGACATTTGATATCTGATGGTGACCCATGCCTGAGGACCAGACAAGAAATTCAGAGGAAAGCAACTGGAGGAGTTTAAATTTTTTTTTTTTGCTAATTTTTTTTTTTTTTTTTTGGCTTTTTGAGATAGGGTCTCTATACAGTTCAGGCTGGCCTTGAGCTCACTTTGTAACCCAGGCTGGTCTCGAACTCACAATGATCCTCCTGCCTCAGCCTCCCAAGTGCTGGGGTTACAGGCGTGCGCCACCACACTCAACTTTTTTTGGTTGTTTTTTGAGATCGGGTCTCACTGTGTTGTTCAAGCTGGCTTTGAACTCACTATGTAGCCCATGTGGGCCTCAAATGTACAGCAACTCTCCTGTCTCAGCCTCCTGAGTTCAAGTGCATCCCACCACACCTGGCTTCATTTTGTTTTACTAATTTTACAAACACTCAGCAGTTTCTCAGTGATCAGGCCCAGTTGGGAGTGCATTTGGCTCAATTAGTTTATTTGAGCCTCTGACAGCCCTGTTGGTAGCGCTGTAATTTCCCCCATCTCACTGATGGTGTGGAGAGGGGTAGGTGATCTTGAAAAAGTGGCAGAGATGCAGAGCAAATCCAGGCGGTGTGGCTGGGGAGCTGACCCAGGCTGGGACTAGTGAGGGAGAGGGAGCACCGGATGGGGCCTGAGCGTGAGCAGAAGGTGGAGGTGTCTTCCCAGGAAGACTGGCTGCACCTGGGGGCGGCAGTTCAAGGCCTGGTGCTGAAGTGACTACCGTGGTGCGGAAGCCAGCTCCTTTTATTACATTTAATGGGCCTGCAGGGAGAGGGCTTGCCTTCCTTCCTCTGTCATCACCAGCCACGGGGCTCCTTCCCGCCTTATTTATTTCTCGCAGTGAGGCCCTGATGGGTTCTGCAGGTGTGGTCAGTCCCGGCACTGGCCAGGCGGCCCCAGGGAGAGAAGGCGGCATTTTTGCCTTCAGAACACATCTTCTTTTTAATTTTTTTTTTTTTTTTTTTCGGAATACATCTTCTCCATTTCAGAACCACCTAGTCCACTTCGGGACAGCCACAGCTCTGAGCCCATGTTGGAGGCTGGGACAGGGTGGCAGTAATGACAGCAGCTGCTGTACATTTAATGCCACTGTGTTGGCGCTATGCTTGGCACTTTCTGTGCCTTCTCTCCTGGACTCTGCTTAATAACTCTTTGAGGCAGGAACAGTTATTATCAGCCCCATTTTTCGGACAGGGAGACTGGCTCAGAGAAATTAAGAAACAAGTCCACAATTGCTGGGCACGGCGCTCTACACCAATAATCCTAGCACTCAGAGGGCTGAGGCAGGAGGATCTCCGTGAGTTCAAGGCCAACCTGGATACATAGTGAGACCTTGTCTCAAAAAAACAAAAAGAAAGAAAAAAAGAAACACATCCAAGATCACAAGTATGGTAAAACAGGAAGTTAGGTAGAGCCAGGTCTGTTGGACTCCAGAGTCCAAGGTCTTTGCGGGCCTGCAGGAGAGATTCCATCAAGTTACTTCCAGTCTGCACGCATCTTTTTTCTCCTTTTTATGGTGCTGGGGCTGGAACCCAGAGCCTCGCACCGGTTACACAAGCGCTCTGCCACTGAGCTACACGCCCAGCCTGTTCTTGTCTTCTGTGTCTGGAAACCCTGTCCCTAACATTCATATGGTGTTTGTGCCCACGGTCACATTAATTGTCAAGACCATCTTTGTGGGGTTTTTTTGTTTTTGTTTTTTTTTACTAGGAATTGAACTCGGGACCTTGCGTTTGCCAGGCAGGTGCTTGTGCCACTGAGCTACATCCCTGGCCCAAGACCATCCTTTAAGGTCAGAGGTGTACCTGTTTCTCAGAAGAAAATTGAGCTGTCGCCCACTCTCCGGCTCTGCCCACCGGGTCCACACTGTGACTTGGAATGGGGTGTCCAATGTGGGGCCGGTAGCT